AGAGTCTATTTATATTGTCCATTCACCAACAGACTCATTTGTATCGCAAAGCTCACTATGTGAAAGAAACGTTGAGAATAATTGGATTTTGTCTGTTTTCGCCTTTTCACGTCATTCAACATTTCAGTTTAAAGAATGACAAACAGTATGACTTCAGTATAGCAGTAACATTTATTCCACCCAGGGGAAAGCTCTACATATGAAGCTACAATTTTTCTTCCTGCATTTGTGACAGGTATACTTTGTGCAGTGAACACAACGCTCAGTGCTGTGCTTCCTGTTGCAGAGATTGAACACCTGGCCTGCTTATAATAACAATGAAAACATCTTTAAAAAAAATAGAGTTTAGCACATTTTCCCAAAGTAAGAGTTGTAGTATGATCTAGATGAGGTTATCAATGTGTGCTACAAGTTTGGAGGCACTACAATGATCTATAGTGTAAATATTGGCTATTATATGCTTAAAATAACAATGAATAAATCTCCAAAAATACAGTTTGGTCTATTTTCCCAAAGTAAGAGAGAAAAGAATGTTAGAACTGTAAATATACAGTCATATGTTTATATAACTAGTTTTTTTTTTATGTATTTATTGCTGTTTTCAAAGCTGCACTTTAAAATATGAAATTGTCTAAAGCTGTTCTAAATGAAATGTCCTTTTGTTTAAACTTGTGTATAAAAATGACTAAATAAATCTGTCTAAGTTATAAGTAATTATTGGCTTTTATATGCTTATAATAACAATGAAACATTTTTAAAAAATAGAGTTTAGCACATTTTCCCCAAAGTAAGAGTTGTAGTGTGAACTAGATGAGGTTATCTATGTTTGGAGGCACTACAGTGATCTATAGTGTAAATATTGCTCATTTTATACTTATTCTAGTAATAAAATAAAGGTGCCATTTGTCATTTAGGCTTTGGGAAATTCCTCAAAGTATTATTTTCAAATCCAATAAATGTGATATGAAAGACATGAGATACAGATTAAATGAATGTGATAATAATCCACCTCTGCTTGGTGACGCTTTTGAATATTTCTCTCTGATTAATTTGCAACTTGCAGACGGTCCCTAAGCAGCGAGCTCCGCATAGAGTCCAATGTAAATCTCCCAGCGTGATAGGAGACTCGCTTTGAGGAAACTACAGTTGTAGCTCACTGTCTGCCTTGCTGTGGTTGCGGAGAGCTGTCTGTTTTGTAGAATAAATCATCCGCCGACGAGTTAATAATCTGGAAAAGCCAAATCTGTGCATAAATTGCCAACTTTGCTGCAGTTTCATGATGCTGTCTGCACGGCTGCAGCGGAGGAGAGATCGCTTGAGTTATATTTGCCCCGTAGTAAATAAGGCATAAATATTGTTGCTTTCTACAGCGTTGCAGCTCATGCAGTCATTTTCATTGTGCGCAGCTGTAGCTGCGTGCAACGTTTGAAAAATGTGCACAGTGTACGCCCGGATTTAGCAAGCTCCAACATTCATGTTGTGTTCCAATATCATCATCATCATGAGACGTTCTTTCAACTCTTTCATATTTTATTTCAAACTTCGTCGTTTACTCANTTCATATTTTATTTCAAACTTCGTCGTTTACTCATAGCCAAACACTGAACTTCTGATTATGTTTTCTTATCACAGCAAATACTGAAAAAGTTTCCTTTAACCAACAGATGAACCAGAAAGAAAACTTAAAACACAGAAATATAAACACCAAAATGTAATCAGAAAAACCTTTGCATGAAAGCAGAGTAAACCAGCGGTCTCCAACCTTTTTTGCACCACGGACCGCTATATGTCAGACAATATTTTCACGGACTGGCCGGGGGGTGGGTTTCGGGGGTGGGAATACGATCAAGTAAAATGATACGACTGGCATAAAATCAAATACAAACAGCATAAAAATAAAACAACAAGCCGGTCCCATCGAGGCGCAATCGGAGAAAATGACAGACGAAGTGTGCTCCTGATGTCCAGTCTGCTCCATAACTTTGTTTTGGTCGCTGTAACCGCAGAATGCCCCTTCACAAAGATAGGATGTTATAGATAGGATTAGTCTTAACCTGTGTCAAGAGGCACAGATGCACCGACTGATGTAATTGGGAGAGAATACCGCAATTTTTTATATTTTCAAAATAAAACACCACTCAGACTCTGATCGTTGATAAATTATACATACTTTTTTCTGTGCGGCCCGGTACCAAATGACCCACGAACCGGTACCGGTCCGCGGCCCGGTGGTTGGGGACCGCTGGAGTAAACTACTAACGTACAACTTTGTAAAGTTACAGGAAGCAGGAGGGTCCCTTCGTTCACTGAAAAGAAACACTAACAAATTTTTAGCTTATTAACACAGAAGGAAAACTACACTAGGAAGAAATTATATATATATATATATATATATATATATATATATATATGTATATATATATAAAGACATTTAAAAAAAATTACTGAAAGATTATTTCAAAAATTTTAAGCCTTGAAATAATCTGATGAAAATCTGATATAAAATAAATCAGATTTCCTTTGAGAAAATAAAGTTAATCTAATCTAATATTTAAAAAAAGTGTCAGATTTTTTAGGATCTTCTTGTTTACAGTCTGAGTTTCTTTTCCCTTCAT